CTTTGTTTAATCCTGAGCTGATGGTGTCAAATTTGCAGATGAACTGAAGCTCAGTTTCTCTTTGAAGTCTGGTCCTGAAGTTTTTTTGCTGCAGGATGGTTACCTTTAAATCTGCTATTGTGTGTCCAGGGAGGTTGAAGTGTTCTTATGCTCCTATACGTCTGTTAGTCTATAAGGTGCCACAGGACTCTTTGCTGCTTTTACAGATCCAGACTAACACGGCTACCCCTTTGATACTTGGAGCAGAGGATGAGATCCACAAATCCAGCATTTGTTCTTCCCAGAGTTGTGAATTGTCAGTTCTCTTTTAGATTGCATGCCTTTTACTTCTATAAAGAGTGCTTGATTTAGCCTAACATCAATGGCCAATTGCTCGTTCAAAGTTCAACACTGGCCAGATTACAAATAAAAAAGCCACTTTTGCATGTGAATTGTACTGCCTGTCTGTAAACTGTGCAGTACGCTCTTTGAGGCAAGGATCATGCTTTCCTCTATGTTTTGCAGAGGTCTGACTTCTCTGTTTGTGTATTGCCAAGGACAATGTTGGTGCTTAATATGTAATAAAAGTGCAAGGAGAAGGCCTATAAAGTTGCAAGGGCTTGAGTGGGGGAGCATGGTTTTGTTTTGAGGTTTTTTGCATGATGGATAATTTTGCAAGATACTTGTTTTAGTTTGGTAGAAGCACTTACTGGTGATAGGCTCTTTAAAAATGTGAATTCTGCTATCTAGGTTCTTAATAATGTAAATGAAGATTATCCATTTAAACCAAAATAAAGATGCTTTAATATCATATTTTTCCAGTGTTTTTGCAGCAATTTTTGTTACAGAGCATCTAAATATTTTGAAGCTCAGATTCCCAAAAGTCCAGTGTGGATGCGAGAAGAAGAAAGGTAATTTGATCACTTGTTCTTTTTGTTTATTCTATGTGAGTTCAGGTACAGTACAACTAGGTGTGAGACAATAATAAATGGTTATACTGAAACTGAAGAAAATCTAAAACTATAAAAGGCTAATGAGGTGTGTGTTATAAAAGTTGTATATATAATCAAGATGGTAATTTTACCATATTGATGTGATTGGCAATATAAATGCCAGTTAACAAAATTGTTCAGGGTCTGATCTGGAGAGGTCCTGAGAAACTATTATTCCTATTAACTTCAAAAAGTCCTTCTTAAGATTGGAATAGGCATTTTTATAAAATATACTAAGGATAGGATTAATTCATTTTATCCTATTACAAGAGTTGTTCTAATCTTAACATAGCACTGATACTGGATTTGAAGTTAGACGTTAAAAATGTGCATCAGAAAACAGAATATAGGACTACAACAAAAAGCAGTACTAGATCTTAGGTAAAATCCTAGTTTCACATTCTTTTAAGCAACAGATATGGGGAAAAAGGCAACATGCATTTTGGAAGGGTGTAATTTCGTCATTTCTCTTGGTAAATTGACTGCCTGGGTAAGTAGGGAAATAAGTACTTGAAATTAACCAACCAAACCACTGGATGTCACCATTTCACAGTACAAATACCTGCCTGGAGAAAGGTCATACAAGTTTATCTAACTTGCTTCAAAAATATTCTCTAAGATAGTGGTTTCCAGAATCTCCTGTATTTAGCTCTAGTTCTAAATGGGAAAAAAGCTAAAACTAAATTTTGAGACTGACAGGGTTTGCTAAGAATTGCCTTGACTGCAAGCTCCTCAGGACTGGGGCTGTCTCTCATTACTAGCACTGTGTTGATGTTATATAAAAATAATAATTAGATGTAAACATGTAAAGACTATCTCTGAAATCCTTTCAAGAGCAAAGAATAAAGTTCTCATTGAAAATCTGCAAATGGAGAATTTTGCGTGATACTGCAATACAAATAATAAATAGTATTTTGACATGTTTTATTGTCATCTTGAGATTTCAGACTTAAAACATTGAGATGAATGGGACAGTTCATATCCATCAGAGCTATTGTTTCAGGCTGTCTGTGGATTGAGGACGGCACTGCATTGGTTTTCATTTGGTTCATGTTTAGAAGGTAGCCTTGCATAGGAGCTAGAAACAATTTTAAAAATAAATATCCGAAGCAGTGGTTGTCAACCAGGGGTTTGTGTACCCCTGGGGGTACGCAGAAGTCTTCCAGGGGGTACATTAACTCATCTAGACATTTACCTAGTTTTACAACAGGCTACATAAAAAGCACTAGTGAAGTTAGTACAAATTAAAATTTCATACAGACAATGACTTGTTTATATTGCTCTATATACTATACACTGAAATGTAAGTGCAATATTTATATTCCAGTTGATTTATTTTATAGTTATATGGTAAAAATGAGAAAGTAAACAATTTTTCAGTAATAGAATGCTGTGACACTTTTGTATTTTTATGTCTGATTTTGTAAGCAAGTAGTTTTTAAGTGAGGTGAAACTTGGGGGTGCACGAGACACATCAGACCCACTTCTGAAAGGGGTACAGTAGTCTGGAAAGATTGAAAGCCACTCTTGTAGGGCACTGTTGGTGCTGCAGACAAATAAAAAAGCGAGCTAATTTTAAGTCCCAATAGACATTGTTTGGGGGGGAGGAGATCCATCGAACACTTCTTAAATGGGCAGGAATTGTCAGGGTGTCTTTCTAAAAGCAATATTAAATTTTCCTTTTGGTTTATAACAAAAATGTATTTCTAAATATACTGGATATATTGACTGCTAAACTTTAATTTAAATCAGCAGTGGGTTAGAATTAGGACTGTCGATTAATCGCAGTTAACTCACGCGATTAACTCAAAAAAATTAATAGCGATTAAAAAAAATTAATCGCAATTAATTACACTGTTAAACAATAGAATACCAACTGAAATTTATGAAATATTTTGGATGTTTTTCTACATTTTCACGTATATCTGTTTCAATTACAACACAGAATACAAAGTGTACAGTGCTCAGTTTATATTATTTTTATTACAAATATTTGCACTGTAAAAATAATAAACAAAAGAAATAGTATTTTTTCAATTAATCTCATACAAGTACTGTAGTGCAGTCTCTTTATCATGAAAGTGAAACTTAAAAATGTAGGTTTTTTTGTTACATAACTGCACTCAAAAACAAAACAATGTAAAATTTTAGAGACTACAAGTCCACTCAGTCCTACTTCTTGTTCAGCTGGTCGCTAAGAGAAATAAGTTTGTTTACATTTATGGGAGATAATGCTGCCCACTTCTTAATTACAATGTCACCTGAAAGTGAGAACAGGCATTCACATGGCACTATTGTAGCTGGCATCACAAAATATTTGTGCCAGATGCGCTAAAGATTCATATGCCTCTTCATGCATCGGCCATAGTTCCAGAGGACGTGCTTCCATGCTGATGACGCTTGTTAAAAAAATAATTCATTAATTAAATTTGTGACTGAACTCCTTGGGGGAGAATTGTGTGTTGCCTGCTCTGTTTTACCCACATTCTGCCATATATTTCATGTTATAGCAGTCTCGGATGATGACCCAGCATATGTTGTTCATTTTAAGAACACTTTCACAGCAAATTTGACAAAATGCAAAGAAGGTACCCATGTGAAATTGCTAAAGATAGCTACAGCACCCGACCTAAGATTTAAGAATCTGAAGTGCCTTCAAAAATCTGAGAGGGACAAGGTATGGAGCATGCTTTCAGAAGTCTTAAAAGAGCAACACTCTGATGCGGAAACTACAGAACCCAAACCACCACAAAAGAAAATCAACCTTCTGCTGGTGGCATCTCACTCATGATGATGAAAATGAACCTGCGTTGGTCTACACTGCTTTGGATGGTTATCAAGCCGAACTCGTCATTGGCATGGACGCATGTCCCCTGGAATGGTGGTTGAAGCATGAAGGGACATATGAATCTTTAGTGCATCCAGCGTGTAAATATCTTGCGACACTAGCTACAATAGTGCCATGCAAACGCCTGTTCTCACTTTCAGGTGACATTGCAATTAAGAAGCAAGCAGCATTATCTTCTGCAAATGTAAGAAAACATGTTTGTCTGAACGTTTGGCTGAACCAGAAGTAGGACTGAGTAGATTTGTAGGCTCTAAAGTTTTACATTGTTTTATTTTTGAATGCCGGGCTTTTTTGTACATAATTCTACTTTTGTAAGTTCAACTTTCATGATAAAGAGATTGCACTACAGTACTTGTATTAGGTGAATTGAAAAATACTATTTCTTTTGTTTTTTACGGTGCGAATATTTGGAATCAAAAATAAAGTGAGCACTGTACACTTTGTATTCTGTGTTGTAATTGAAATCAATATATTTGAAAACGTAGAAAATGTCCTAAAATATTTAGATGGTAATCTATTATCGTTTAACAGTACGATTAATCGCGATTAATTTTTTTTAATTGCTTGACAGCCCTAGTTAGAAAACAAGATGGTTTAAAAATGAGTTTGGGGGGGGGGTATCATAAAAACTTCCCCTAATCATGATTGTGGAAATCCTATTCAAAATTGCTAATGGTAGCTTCCTGCAAACACTTACATGAGTCAAGTTGCTTGTGTGTGTATGTAGCCCTCTTTGGGTTCTATGGGACTATTCAGAAGACTAAAGTTAGTTACCCGCTTAAATGTTTGCAGGGATCAGCCCTAATGCTGTATATAAAAGCTTCAGTTGTTCATTTTTCAGTATCAGTTGTTGGGAAACTGTTCCAAAAAGATGTTTCAAAAACATCTGTTACTGTGTCACCTTTGAAATTCCTTTTTATTAAATCCTTAATCTTTTTTTCTTTTTGGCAGACCACCAGATATAGAACTGCTGAAGGAGGGGCAAAGGTACAGCTGAATCAATGATTCTTACATTTAACGTACAGTATTCACAGTTGGAAAGGGAAGCCTTTGATTTCCTGTTTTGCTGCAATATATAATGTACCATTATTGCAGACCACACAAAGAATATTTGCCTTGTTTAGCTTTTTCCTTTGTGATGCTAAAAAGAGTATTTGATCTGTATGATTTAGTGTACAGCTGCTCGTAGCCTGTAACTCTTAATTGAAGCTGTTGAAACCTGACACAAACGCAATGTTTGTACTCTGCATATTTTGTACCATCGATCCTTTATAAAGTAAATGGTACCAATTATATGTGTTGAAAGCTTCTGTGAGTCTTAATATAAAACATTTATATCTGAAATATATAAATCCTACCACTCTTTGTTTGCTTCCACCTCTTTGTCAGTTCTGTAAATTGTGATTTTTTTTTTCATGTTTTCCTCTACAGCATTTGGCCATTAGGGGGCAAACTCGCATATTCCTGCAAAAACAAGTAATCTGCTATCCCCTTGTTCTTAATCAGCATACTGTATTTCATTCATATAATGGAAAAATGTGGCTTAAAATGCCTGTATTCACTCTAGAATTTTAAAGTGCTAAAATTTGGCAGCATAAGTCTGACCTTGTGCTCTTTTTTCTTCTAAATTTTGTCAAAGCAAATATATTTTGTTTTTTCTTTTCCTCCCTACCCCTCATTTGCAACATAAGATGTCTGCTGTATAGTATCTGCCGTAGTCATCTTGATTACTAAACACTAAAACTCTTTACATTTGAAATTTTTTTCTTAGAAAACAAATCTTATTTAGATCCCTTAGTAAGGGTCTAATTCTTAATGTTAAATAAAATAATACACCTTTGCTAGAACAAAATTATTTGTTCATTCTTAAAATATATGCTATTCAAAATCATCTAGTTTGCAAATGCTATTATAACTGAAGTCTGTCCTGTGTTTTAATGATAGTCTATTTCTTCTGTAACAGTGGCCAGTCTGGGGAAGAAGTAAAACTACATGATGAAGTCATTAAAGTCTCAGATATTGAAAATCCTAAGACATCAGCAAGCCAGTGTGACTCTGCTTCCCATGGCACATACAGTGACAGCAGCAGTGATACTGAACAAGAATTTGTTTCCTCTATTCTACCAGAAAATCGATCAAATGCAACCAGTCTGGTGCAACCATTGCACAAAAAAAGTATACTCAAAAAGAAGCCTGGTCAAAATATAAACTCCACGCATAGAGATGGAGACCATAGAGTGATAAATGTCACCAAACAATTAAGTGAGTGCAAATTAGATATCCAGGAAAAAAAGAGTTCTTGTTCTGTTACTGGCATTTCTTCAGACATTATTATATCAGAAAACTTAAAAAATCCAGAAAACTATGAAAGTAGGTGTAATGGTTCACAAGTAGTTTTGCTAGGTGTGAGCAAAGAGGGGGCAGAACAACTCAAAAAAATACTTGCTAAATCAAAGCAGCATATCAAACCTGAAATGAATGCACCAGTTGATTCCCTTACTGCTACACGTAATGTGTTAGATGTGCTTAAGCAGACTTTTATTGAATGGAGAACTGAAGAAACTTACAAGTTTCTCTGTGGATCCAGCTATGCTACTGTACACTTACCAGAACACACATCAGCTGTCAACTGTGAGAAAGAAGAACTTGATGAGGATGACTTAGAAACAGCAGATGACCTTAATGACGCTGCTGCTGCTACAAGGGAATCTAAAAACAGTTTGAACCAGTCTTTGCCTTTTGGGGGCACAGGTGCAACAGTTAAACCTTTGCCTAGCTATGAAAAACTAAAAGAAGAAACAGAACTATTAGGTCTAAGAGTAAAGGAATTCTATAAAGGAAAATGCCTCTTGACTGAAGAAGCAACAACACAGGTGGAAGGAGCAGAGCATCCTAGCAGTGTTAAAGTAAGTATCCTGAAAAACTGGACTGTTTAGTTCTGTATGTTTATACAGTGCTTAAGTCAATGGGGCACTGACCTATATGGCCTCTAGGTGTTACCACAATATAAATGTTGATAATAATCTAATAGTAAAATTTCAGCATTGTCACCTTCTGTATGTCACTCTGAAGCTAGAATGTCTGAGTCCATGTGATTAGAGAGACGAGATGAGTGAGGTAATATCTTTTATTGGACCAACTTCTGTTGGTGAGAGAGACAAACTTTTGCCAAACAGAGCTCTTCTTCAGGTCTGGGAAAGGTACTCCAAGTGTCACAATTAATTCCAAGGTGGAACAGATTGTTTGGCATAAGTAGTTAGCACATATTCTAAAGGATCATTCAAGATAGAGTGGCCCATTAAAACCTCTGCAGTCATAGGACAAAAAGCAGGGGTTAGTGTGTAACAGATTGTTGTAATAAGCCGTAAATCCAGTGTCTCTGTTCAATCCATGTTTTCCATGCAGTCTGTTCCCATATGTACTGGTAAATGGAGGCACATGTCTTTACAACTTACACCTGTGCGACAGAACGGGCTTTCAGCTAGTAATAACAATAATTAAGGATGGTCAGCTCCTGAGCAATTACCTAGGTTTTGGCTAGCTAAAATAATGAATTCTCATGTTCAGTTTCAACAGCTTCTTGTTAAGTTACAGAATGTCATGGACTAATCAGCTATTTAAGTGTGCTTTAACTTGGTAGGAAGCACTGCTAAACTGAACTAATGTAAGAATGTTAAAGGTTAAATTAATTCTATCTGGCCATTGTGCAGATGCATAGAGGGAAGAAAGAATGGAAGGAGTCTTTTCCTCCACTCTACCTCTGTGGCCTCTGCACGAGGGCCAAACACAACCAACATCCCTGCTCTCAGAGTACTGGAGCAACTGCTTCCCTCTACATCTCCGTTGGAAACACAGAGACATCCCAGCCTTTTAGATTTCAAATATTGCAAGGAACCATATAGCTTTGGGAACTTTTTCACTTTCTAGGCATTAAGTCATCATGTCACAGAGCTTTGCATCTCTTCCTGTCTGTCTTCTGGTAGGAGGATTTATAGACACAAAGAGATGCAAAACTGTATGAGGTTTCACCTCTTCCAAGTCGAGTAGGCCAGCTCTAAACATCCAATTCCTTTTGTCTCAATCATATGGAGACAGTACTCTGGCTGACTAGACTAGGGGCTGGTCTACACTGGGGGGGGGGATGGATCCAAGATACGCAACTTCAGCTACACGAATAGCGTAGCTGAAGTCAAAGTATCTTGGATCGAATTACCTGGGGTCCACACGGCGCGAGATCGACGGCTGCGGCTCCCCCGTCAACTGCGCTACCGCCGCTCGCTCTGGTGGAGTTCCGGAGTCGACGGTGAGTGCGTTCGGGGATCGATATATCACGTCTTAACGAGACGCGATATATCGATCCCGGATAAATCGATTGCTACCCGCCGATACGGCGGGTAGTGAAGACGTACCCTAGGTTACACGTTTTGTGTTGGTGTATGTAGTTCTGGGTTTCTTTAAGTTTTAGGAAGTTTTCAATATGAGAAGTAATTTTGCAAAAGCTTATTTTTATTAAATAAAGTAACTGTAGTGTGCTTAAAATGAAAGAAGACGTTATCTGGGCTCAGTTAGTATTACATAAGACTCCCCCTGAAAAGTTGTCATTAGTTTTTATGACACCCTCCATAATGGATTCTGAAGAAAGGAAAAAAATAGATTAGTAATATAGATAGGCCTGGCTTGACATGGGAATCTCAACAAGTAAGCAAATTGTAATTAAGGCCCGATTTAAATAACAGTTCAGTCCTTCAGGAGCTCATACAATTCCTAGCCACTCCTGTCCAACTACAATTTCCGCTACCCTGAAGCCAGATCATTATTTCTAAAATCTAGCCTTTAGGTTTTGAATATTCTTTCCATTTAATGTATGTAAACACTTATTGCACTTGTGCCATTTTTTTCTGCTCAGAAACAGTAAAATTTAACAATGGGGAAAACAATCAATAATTGGCCACAATATTGCTTTGTTGTATTGACTTTAAAAAATTGACTTTAAAATTCAAATGTCTACCATGTTTTCATTATGTTTTTGTATTGTAATGTAGGATGACCAGCAGGGTGATCCCATCCTCCCGCTTGTAGATTCTCATGCCCAAATGCAGATTCGAAAGCAGATTGTACTTGAAAAATTGAGAAAAGTGTAAGTATCCCTTCTTTCTCTTTGAGTACTTATGACTAAATTAAGTCTCCAGCCCAAATTAGCTCAGAATGTGGCTGCCCGCTCATTAATCAGTGCCACATATATTGAGCACGTTACACAACTGCTCTGCGATGTCCATTTGCTGCCTATTAAATTCCATCCAGAAATTAAAATATAAGATAAAACCATAAATTCTTTAATGAGCTGGGATTTAGTTGCTTGAGGTATTGTCTCTTTGTGTGTGATACAACTGTAGTTGTTGTTAGTGGATGTGCTCAATCTGACAACCTCCTGGGTCATAAAGGAAGGGCCTGCTGGCAGGGCATCTTACAAAAGGAACTTGCCCCTTTCTTAGGTGTGTCAGAGCCCATGTTTGGTAAGCTTCTGCTCATGTTGTAAAACTTATTATCCTCCCTCTGCATGGGAGGAGAGGGGTTGTCACAGGCTTGTGGGAGTTGTTGGTGTTTAACTGTGGAATACATTCCACTGCAATTTATGTATTTTGTGGATTTTAATGTTTGCTATTGTAAATATGCATGGAGCTTAAATAAGGGATAAGTGCTTTCAAGAAGTCAAAATGATCTTATTGTCTAGATGGAAAACTAACTTCTTTTCCTTGCTTAAAAGAGTTTTCTGATAGACTTAAAAATATGAAGTATTGCTAATAACGTTAACACAGTGACTTTTAAAGCTGAACTGGAATATTTGCTCGAAATTATATTGAAACTGTTTGGGGCAGGAAAAGTATCGTTATGTCTTGTTTGGTATCAAGTATATTGTCACTAAACAGATATGGCCACATCTACACAGAAGAAAGCATAGTTTTGAAAACCGGTAAATAGTTCCAGCAAAGTTCTCACTGAATCAGTTTCTTATATACATGGCTGATGTGATGAGGCTTATGTGATTTTTTTTTTTTTTTTTTTTTTTTTTTTTTTTCATGCTTTGTCCCTGCCTCCACTGGCTGTAGGCAGCCAAACTACATTAAAGCCTGTCTAAACTGAATTTTAAAAGTTTCCAAACACTATTCCCTTTTTATCGTAGATGGGGCCTTTGTGCACTAAAGAAAAAAGCATATTGCAGTTCAAGGTCCTATATACATTGGCACTAAAAATGGCTAAACCAGCAAGGTTTAAAACCATATAAAAATGTCTCCTGCTAATCCACTTTGCCTAAGCAGGCCAGACAAGAAACAACAGTTTAAGGACCATGAATAACAACTTAGTCTAAAACATTATTATTTTTAAATGGCTATGGCTTGTCTGTGTTGCCTAGGCTACCTTGGCATGAGCCCCTCCCCCCCATGCAGAGGGAGGATAATGAGCTTTTTTTTTTTTTAAAGTTCCATTAGCATTTCGTATCAGAACTGCATTGTAACAAAACTGATGATTGTTAATCAGAGATCCTAAGAAAACTTCCCCGTATTTCTGCCAGAGTGAATGTCATCACAGCTACCAAGAGCATGGTTTGAAATAGTTTTACTACATTACAAATCCATGTTCTCATTCCCTCATTAATTTATCACATCTGTCACTTATGCTGAACCTTCTCATACTTCTAGCAAAGGGTGAATTTAATTTGTACTGTCTTTGTGCTCTGTATGTGTGACATGGGCTCTCAGCTACTAATATACCTATATAATATTAGGTATATTCTCTGCACCTAGCTGCTAATTCAGTTGTGTAGTTTTCTCTGACTACTTCTTTTGAACCCAAATAAAATTATGAGAGTAGGAACATTACTCACTTAACAACTGAATCAATTAAACAGCTATGAGCTGGGTACAAACTTTTAAGGGGGGTACAAATGCCATTTCTCTCTTAAGTAGATATGTTCTAGGTGTGTTATATCCTCCACTTGGAGACTTAATTAAGAAAATTAAATTATTTCACTGCCAAAGAAATCTAAATATTGCAAATTTGAAATAGTTTTGACACTTAAAATTCCAGTCTTCCATATTGTAAACCTAATTGCTTTTGTAAGAATGCCTTGGCATAACTGACATTGGAAGCTAATTAATAACATAACTTGCTAAGCAGCAAGTATATCAAAAGTCTTATCCTATTATGCTCTTCTCCAATAGCTACTGTAAAATGCAGTGACATTGCAGCAATGCCTTCTCTAATAAATGAATCTGAAGTGTAAGCTATATGCCAGATCTAAAGCTCAAAGAAGTCAATACAAGTCTTTCTAGTGATTTCAGTGAGCTTTGGATAAGGCCCTATTTGAGGAGCAAATGGTTGTGTATAGAAAGAAAGAAAGAAAACCTAATATCCTTTTGCTTCCAGATTGCCTGCAGTTTTGGGTCCTCTTCAGATTACACTAGGTGATGTTTACATGGAGCTGAAAAATCTTGTCAAAACTTTCAGGTAAGTGTTGGTCTTTTCAGGGATTTTTCCTGATTGAGTAAATAACATCTAATATAGACACACATGAATTAGGATCAAAGGAACCCCTGTGAAGATTTGCCCTGCTTCAGTAGTAGGTCAGTGTAGGTAACATCATGCTCCCTGTGGACTAACAAGGCAGCCCCATCCCCTGCTCCACTGACTGTGCTCGGGTCACTATGAGTATTTTATATATTTTTAAGAAGTAGGCCAGCGGTCTCAGGAGGATGCTGATGAGTCCTTTAAAGATACTACTGCCCTGTCATCTCCTATTAAGCATGGGCGTTTGAGATCTGTCACTTCCTCAGTGCACCCTGCAGCTGGGCTAAATGGGGCTATGGGGTGTGATTAATGATGGTTGCTGCCAACTCCCTGAGCAGTGAGGAAAGTCAAGCTTGGCCCACTCTACTCCTGATTGCAAGGGGAAGGATAGAGAACAGCTAAGAACTGTGTTAGTTCCCTACCACCGGGAGTCAGTGAGCTTTAATCTCTCCCTATGGCCTCAGTGAACCTAGATCCCAGGAGCACTGAGGAAGGTGGCAGCACAGACAAAGAGGGTGGTGGTAACTTTTCTAAACACCTACCCACTCTGCGGGTCAGCAGCCAATTCCTCTTCACTGACACAACACAGACCCAATACAGGCTCCATGCCCTTGAGCCCCAGCAAGAAGAGGGAGTGATAGCAATTGCTAATTATGAGTGGCCGAGCCATGTTTCAGGACATTGACTTTAGGTGTTAATGTTTTTGCTCTTGGCCATTCAGTGCAACCCAAGAATTTTTAAAAATGCTTTTCTTGTGGCATTTATATTTTAATGAGTAGAATGTCAGTTCCACTTGAACCCTTAATTTTGGCTAACATCTTCAAAGACCAGGTTAGACTAAAGAGCTGTAGTAGGGACTTGTAAAGACAGAAAACATTTTTTTTATGGTGATAGAGGTGGTACGCATGAATTTTTTAAAATTTAATTTCTATAATTGCTGTTTTTTAAAATAAATCCTGATTAACTCCACACTGTCTCCTAGCAACTATGCCAAAAATGTGTAAAGGGTTAGGGAAGAGCTTATTTCATATATGCTAGAGTTGCAGGGGTATACCCCACATACACGAATGACCTGCGTTTACAGAAATGTAGGATTTCTAGTCAGTCTGTAATGCTAAATTCATAATAGTCCCCTCAGCCTGACTGAGTTCTCTGGATTGCTGAAACTAGCATGGATTTTGGTGTACTCCAACCATGGGCCTTTGTAACAGACCCATCACAGTAGTGTCTCAGCACCAAAACACACTTCTTTCAAAAGCATACCTGAAAGCAATTTTGGACATATTAGTTAAATTTGGCTCCCTATTATTAGGCTTTTGACATACAGATTTTACCATCTTCATTATTATTTGTTAGGATCTGTTGCGCGATAGCCCAACTGAACTTTTATTGCCAATTTATTGTTAATATGATCTAAATTGCAACCTGCCTGAGGACTCGTCATTGTTATGTTTCACCCTTTTTTTTTTTTTTTTTTTACTCCTCCTAAATATATGGAGCAGTGCCTTAGCAGTATTCCAACCTTTAGTGTTGAAACAAAATAGAACAAAATCTTTCTTATTAATTGCATCTGAGGTTGCTTGAGTTGTCTTTTGAGTTACTTAACGTTGAGACCTTTTTGCAACACTTTTGGATAAGGTGTGAGTTGAAGGCCATTGGTAGCTAATTGGGAGTTCTTTAATGTGGAGGATCTTAGGTGAATTCTTTCCTTGGCAGTTGGTTTGTGTTTAATTGCAGTTTGGGGATTGTTTTTCTACATATTGAATTTAATGTAGCACCTAGAGCAATGGGTAGGTGCTTTAGAAACCTAAATAAAGTAAATATTTTGAATTCACATCATTGTTGCTGAGAACAAGATTACAAAATACAAGGTGCATAGTGTGGGGCCAAATTCTCCACTTCAGTTATCCGTAGAATCAATTCAACTAAACCTACATTTATTTTTCCTTCATACTGCTCCTAGCAAGAAGGAACAATTCATTGGGCCTTTTCTCCATCTGTACCTGGACTTCTGCTGCAGCAGAAGCTGGTGGCAAATACTACCTCATGGACATGAGGATAAAAGCAGTAGTCATTGATGCATAGATCTCCAATCCTGCAAACGCTTATATGCCCAGGCTTAACTTTACTCATATGAATAGTCTCATTGATTTCAGCATGAATACTCGCAAGGGACAGTTAAACCATTTGCTGAAGTACTTGGAAGATTCAGGGCCTTAAGTACCACTTACTATGTAATAGGGTTGAAATGCTGAATAAAATAATGAGTGGGCATCTCTGACAAATAGAAGTTCTCTTTTCTGCTTCGTGTACTGGAAGTACTTCAGGCTGAAAAATTGTTGAAGGCCCATCATAGGGGATAAAACACATGACCATAATGTGGGAGAGTTTAGTTAAAGAAGGGTAAAAGAATGTGGTGAACTGAGCAACAGCAATTTTCAGCTCCATTGGTTTTTAAAGGAACACTTGCAGTTCAGCCTCTTTTGGACAGCATTTTATTCAATCACCACTGCTGGGAAGCGCTCTGAAGAGATCTCTGGAGACAGTTCAGAATGGTTATAGTTCTTCCCAAGCTAAGTCTCTCAGTGCCTGTAAGCTTTTGTTACGAAAACTGAGATGTCAAATAACTCTCCAGAGTCTGTCAGGGCACTTTGTTAAAGACTAAGAGAAAATTAGGTATTTACATAGAAATCTAGGTTAAATGACTAAGTGAGTAAATTAGAGACACAAGGCAAGTGAGGTAATATCTTTTATTGGACCAACTACTGATAAAACTGATAAAAATAAATACTTTTTCACCCAATGCACAATCAGCCCATAGAACTCCTTGTCCCAAGATACCACATAAGACAAGAGCTTAGCAGGATTTTAAAAAAATGATTTGACACTTTATACAGATAATAAGAATATCCAGAGTTGTTACAGTATGGACAAAAAACCAGGAGTTTGGATATAATTACTTATGCACTTCAGTGCATGAACCAGTCCTTAATGGGAGTTAGGAAGAAACTTTTCCTAGGGCATGTTATTCAATTACTGTCTATTGCACTTTTCTTGCACCTTCATCTGAAACATCTGGTGCTGGCCACATTCTGAGATAGTATACTAGATCTGATTTAGTATGGCAATTCCTATGTTTCTCGGCACTTCATCTGTAAGTTTCCTTTCAAGGTGACCACCTGCCTCTCGGAGCATGGGAGGCAGTATGTTCTATCCCTGGGGTAAGCGAGCCCTTACATTGCTAAAAGAGCTTCTTTTCTGAAAATTCTAGATTGTTGGGTCTCAGAGCCAAGTTTTGGCCCAAAAGCACTGTGGGTGTGCTTGAATCTTGTCTCCCACTTGTTGTGTCCTATTCCTGTTAGAGGCAAGGATCAGGCCATCACACTATTCTTGCCAGAAGGGAAACTGATCAATGATGGATCACTCACGCAGGAGCTGACATTAATTTAATGAGAAAATGTACCAAAGTAAAACTATAGCTGATTGGCATTTTGATGCTAAAAGAAATATGACCTGCACGCATTTGTCTTTCCCAGAGTTTTTGTTTAACCCAATTGTTACCTAAAGTTTGGGCTTCTTTATTGCTCCTGCAACTTCCCATGTCAAAATTAGCTTTTTCTTCTTTGAGTAATTTTCTGTGGGTACTCCGCTTCTGGTGTGCATATACATGTGTGCCTCTGATCAGAAACTTTTGGTAGGAGTGTCTGCGTGGTCCATGCCTTTGTGCTGTACATTGTTATGCTCCAATCCGAGGGCGTATAAGGCAGGCTGGACCTGCTGTTGCTCCAGTTACTTCAGCTTATCCTTAAATTTGTATTTTTATTTTACTTTTTACTTACCTTGCACACTTTTTGTGTGGTCTTTTCATTCCCCCCGCCATCTTTTTCACAGTCAGGGTTCTAAAACCTGTCAGACATGTAGAAGGTCTTTTTCCCCTCAGCAACAGTCATTCCAGCTATCCCCACTGTCTGGGGGCGACACACATCATGTCAACGTGCAAGATCTTCATCAGATTTGAAAGCCGACCCAGGAAACTGAGGGAGGCTAGACTTAAGCTGCTTCCCATGGTGGGTTCTGTGCAACCTTCCTCCAACTCAGGGCCCACCACAGCCCTAACTCAGTGTGTCAGGGTCAGCCAACCAACGCTGTCCTTCAACTTCTACGGCTCTGTCTCTGTTGAGTAAGAATCATGGCCAGCTCCAGAGACTAGCTCAAAAAAGAAGAGACCTAGGTCCATTGATAGAGAGGCATTGATAAAAGGGGGTACTTTGCCTCAGAAATCGACAATGAGATCTCATGTCCCATCTCAGGTACAGTCAAGGCTTCTAGACCCTCCTGTACTGCGCTTCCTGCACCAACTAAAAAGACTTCTAGTGCTACTTACACTGAAAAGTTTCTTGATACACAGCTCTACCTGGTACCGATGGAAGTACCTGGTTCAGAACCAGCCACGCAAAAGAACTCTGCCACCTCGAAGAGATCAGTACTGGCACCAGCTGCCCCAGTCCCTGCCCCTCCAGCAGGGCACAATCATCAAGGGCATTCTGACCACGACCCTTTGCCATCTTCGGTACTAGTGGCTTCAGGTACAGCGGACTCAGCTCTCCAGTGTCCTGCCTCCCCTGTACCAAGCAGATTCCTGTTCCTGAAATCTCCTAGTCTCTGAGGAGCCCAGGTCTCCCCTACTAATGGTACCGAAGAAAACCACTCCTCCAGAGCACTCTCTGGTACCAATGAGATCAGCTCCCACCTTCAGTAGAGGGGAAGACTCCTCTTCTGACTCCAGAAATCGCAGGGTTTCACCACCTGCTCGTTCAGATCTCCCTCTCCAGAAGTCTATTCTGAAAGAATTTCATCAGGACCCAGGCACATGCAAGCCCATCAACAGCCCTCTTGGTATGACCACGCTTAGGGTCCACCACCCTTCCCCTATGCCTATC